GCTCCAGAAGAAATGCTTGCTTATGTCCACGGTCGGGGTCTTTATAAGTGTTGTTGGCTGCTCGTGAATTGGCCCCTGCCTCCTGGTCCCAGGCACAGCGGAACCAACCACCTCATGATGTTTCACTGGCCAATGTCTGGCAGTGGACTGGTCAGGCTCCCTGCCTTTGAGTCAGCTCTGAGGCTAAGCAGGGCTCATCAAAAACCCACCTCACAGGCTGTTCTGAAGATTTGATGAGCTAAAGTAGAAAGAAGCCCTAAGCATGGCGCCTGGGATATGCAGTGCTCAAAAAATGTTCACACTCACATACTCACACCCTCCTCCTTCCTATCCTCCCCCTCCACCCCCCACTATTTGGGTGTGTCTAAATTCCTACCGTTTCCCATCTTGCCTTCTCAGAAGCACACTCAGGTTTAGCAGCTAGCTCATCTGGCAAAGATGGTGCCCTTTAAGGCCCCAGACAAAGGCTTCTTTGATCCTGGCATGAGAAAGCCTTCACACTGGAATGTAAAGATTGCGCAAATGAACTCTGGCCCTAGCTCAGACTCCTGTGGTAACAGCAATACCTCAAGGCCCTTTCTGAATCAGGAGAATAATACTGCTGTCTCTAAGCAGAACCGTCTGGAGGGCTAAGATTTTAATCCTGGGGGGTCCAGTGAGCTTAAAAGCAGCTGAGCTCATCAGAGTTAGCATTTATTCAGTGCTGTGCACAGACGAAGGGGCCAGGCTGGTGACGTGGGTGAGGCACTGGGTTGCTAATGGAAAGGTTGGCAGTTCAAACCCACCAGCTGCCCTGTGAGAGAATGCTGAGACTCTGCTCCAGTCAAGATTTATAGTCTTGGAAGCCTTGTTTATATAGGGTTGCAGGTTCCAGAATTGACTCAACGGCTTGGCTTGGCTTTGGGCTATGAAGAGATGTGGCACCAGGGCCGTGTCACTCAGTAGTGACGGGTCTCCACAGCCCAGAACACGGGCGAGGGCAGGTGAGAGGGGCCGGACACAAGATGAGGAGGCAAAGACAGTGCCCAGGATCCTAGTTTGAAGAAGCCTCAGTACGTCTGCAGTACGTCACTTAGACCGAAAGTGTGCTTGTTGTGTGTCTGCTCTCAGAGTTCGAGGTAGACTCTGCAATTACTCACCTTAATTTGTGTCTCCTTAAAAACAGAGTAAAGCCAAGCAAAAGTAATAGTATTGCTTAATTAACAAGAGGCTTCTGCGACTTAACTCCGTGGGAGTCTCTTGGTCTAGATTGGCCTTGGGTTAAATATATACCGTGGAGGGTACAACACAGCTGTGCACGGCTTACCATATGGGCCTCAGTAACTAGAAAGAAAAGTCAGCTAAATTAGAAAAGGATGAATCTAGACTCCATAAAATAGATTGTAATTAGCGGCAGCACAACCCCAGAGTTAGCGTAAGTGCCAATAAACGGGTACCACTTTGGTCTCTCCGTGGGAAGGGAGGGTAATGAGTTGCCCTATTATTATTGGCAGCTTTGCTTTTAGCAGTATTTGTGTTCTCCGGAAGGGAT